TCGAACCGCTGCTTTATTCCCGTTCGCAAGTTAACTAATTTTCTTTCAGTGTTATTTGATTATAGAATAATCGTTATTATGTCTAATTAAAGCGTACATATAAGAGGAGTCGTCGCTTTGATGCCGGTCGTTACTCCGATAAATAAATGAAACGTTGAAGGATAAATGATAAACGCCAAACCGATTGTAATAAAAAAAAAATATATGTGAACAATTAATTTTGAAAGAGCTAATTGTACATGCGTATTACCGTTACACGGTAGGGAATTGCAAATGTTGGATCGTCGATTTCATCAGCTCAAAGGATGAGTCAATTTACAGACGCGCAATCAGCTAATTGCTTGAAAGCGGTGCATAACGATGGTAGAATCATGATTGAACATGACATGTACTGTTTCGGTAATTGTCAGTAAAAGAGAAATGCGGCTAAAAGGCTGACGAAGTTTCAGCAAATCCCTAATATTAGCACGTTGATTCGTTCCATCGACTATTTCAACCGCTCAACTCAAGTTTGAATCACCAAAGTTGCAGCGAATAAATGCAATTCACGATGCATATATTCCTTAGCTTGTTTCACTGGCTCTCTATCGGCTATATATTTAATTTATTATGCACAGTTGATTACATTTTATATGTAAATTAGCGAGACACAGCAATAATTATGTTATATCAATATTTTAAAACTCTCATAAAAATACATACGACCTCTATGAGAAATTTCTACATCGCTTACACGCGACGGATGTAATGCCAACTCTCGAGCAATCAACACAACGACGGCATAAATTTTGAGATTGCGAAGTTCGAGGCCACACGTGTTCAACGAGCTGATCAGAACGATTGCATGTTTAAAAAAATTTTTGATTTTGGACTTTTCGCGTGTAAATTATGCGTTTTGTGGTGCTGAAATTAAAAAATTTACAGAGAGCGAAATTGATCAGTTCGGCTGCTGAGAGACTCGGACTAATTTATTCGATTGATTCACGCACAGCAGCGTCAATTTCCGGAGTCCCGGGGACCGCGTTAATTGTTTCCGTCTAACGGCGAAGTTACGGGAGTTGCTGGACAGCTGTATGTTCCCAAGAGATGTAACAATGTTTGTACCTCGCCGCAAGACGCATTCCCGTCGTGCTCCTGTGACCGAGGCACACTGTGGGAACAAACTTTGCACCAACCCTGGCGCACGCCGGCTCTCCCTCGGCGCACCTTATTAGACTTCGATATTTGTTCGTGCTTCCTTGCTGACTCATCGCCCGAAACTCTCGCCCAATTTGGTAGCTCAATTAAAGCGCCGGATTTCAGCGGGACAAACCGCTGTATTCTACTTTATTGTTAACCACCGGAAGTAGATGAAGCTTATACGCGATGGTTATTATGCCGATTCGCGAGTAACGCAATCAACGACGGCACGAATCGCGAAATTGCGAAGCTCAAGGAGACGCGTGTTTAACAAGCCAATTTGAACGATTTCATGTTTTGAAAATCTTTTCATTTTGGAAAGTTGAGTGCTAATTGTGAAAAGACAAAAAAATTACAGAAAGTAAAATTGATCAATTTGGGTTCTGAGAGACAGAGATTAACTTAATTTTAATAAATCTCGATTTTGTTTTAACTCGGTAGCGGCCAGTGGTTAATATATAACTTTGTTTTTATGTTTTTAACGCCCAATTTCCAGTATTATATTTACGTCTTCTATGAAAATAGTTCTAAAATTGTTCTGAGATCTTTAGAAATTAAACAAAACGATCTTTTAATTAAAGATGTTTATGAAACAACTATGATATTTAATGAATTAATATGTTGATGGCCGTGAGAGAGTCACGAGTGACTCGCACTCTAACATTGCCCCACGTTCTATTAATTAATATAATATCACAAGGAAGCAGTTGCATGTGACAAATTAAACACACGGCCAATAGCGAGTCGACGAAACGAGCCGACAAACACACCCGTCGCAAATTGCATTTAATCACCGTATCCTTGGACATTCAAACTTTCGTTCAGCTTTGAAACAGTCAATTGGAAATCGACGCGGCGATTAACGTGTTAATCGCGCTCGAAAACGGAAAGGTAGAGAGACCGTGTTCCCGCTTCCTTTCACCGGCCCTTCTCGCTTGTCGCTTTGCTGGAGCTTCGAGTAAAAATATGTTTTCAAAAAGTCATTACGAAATAAAAAGCTTTCCGCCTGGCGGAGCGACCGATAACTCCTATCGCTTCGTTTTTAATGCCCCGCCGTGCACTTCGCGAGCTTCACAGCAGCGCCGGACTAGAAAAGAACTGACAATAACGTTGTAATAAAAAAGTCAATTCTCCTCGAGCTCCATTGTTCAGGCCGCGTACGCCCTTCCTTCCGTCCTTCCATCCTGCCCGTAAAATAAAGGAGCATCCGCTCGCCGAGTCTGTGAAAGGAGCGCTCCTGCCGATTGAGGGACGGAGACGGTTTAACGCTGCTTTATGCGCTACTTTATCGCGTGTAACGCTTTATCGCACGCATTTGACGGCAATATAACGACGCACAGAGAGAGAGAAAGAGAAAGTCCCCTCAGCCTTGGGGCCGCCGTCGTGCGTTTTCATCTCCCTGGCTCCCCTCGCAGGAGAGAAAACGTGTGTTCCCACGCGGAGAACCGCCCCGAGGAACAATGAACGTGCCTCGACGCTACTGCGAGAGCGGATACCGGCGACTAGAAAAAATACACGGTCGATGCGCGGTCGAATATTACGATCGTTCCTCGGGCGCGCGCGGTGTTGATTTTCCGCACGGAGTATCGATCAACGTATTAATTAGAAGGCACTAGAGGGGGCTTTGTTTGAAAACAATTGAATCATCATGAACGCGCCCCATCCTTGCTTATTATCTGTTATCTAACAGGCTTACGTCACGATTGGCCGTCTTTACATAATGAAATCGAGCCGGCTTCAGCACATGATAAGTTTACCTAATGGTGCCGGCTATTTCCAATCAAAACAAATGACACTCGCTCTCTTCCTCTTCTTATCCCTCTTTCTCGAGCAGGCGAACAAAATTGTAACATAATTGCGGCCAATATTGCCGTCCGGTCTTTCGAACGGTTGTCTAGTCTTGTCCGATTCTGCCCGGCTTTGCCGAAATTCGAAAATAAGAAAATTAATTTTCTTATATGACAAACATATGACGAAATTTATTTTCCCGGCTAAAAGAATAGCTACGTTCAGAGAAAACGGCTCAAAGTAATAGTAAATGCTTAGAGATCGTTGTCTGTGACTGGAGTATTCGACGACGAAGTGGAATGCGACGGTGTTGCCGCATGACGCATGTTGACGCGAGTATTTCGCCAGCAGAGTGGCGTAAAAAGGCAAGAGATGCCGATAACGTGGACAAATCCGCGTTAATCTCTCTTTCTTCTTCGTCCCGGTTCCGTCGGGCGCACGGCGCTTCGTCATTTCGGGGGTTGCGGGCTTTCTCCCTGGCTTTCTTTCTCTCCTCCTTTTTCTCACCGCCTTCTTTCGGCGATCGTGACGAAAAAGCGAGAGCCGTTGGCTTTGTTAAATCTCGCACTTCTCGCTCGAGCATCCGATTATCCCGTTTCTCCATTGTCGATCGTTTATGCGCTTCGCGCGCGGGACAAAGCACGATTTGCGAGGAAGCGCGAAGGACGCGCGTAAAAACGAAAGGGAGGAACTCCTTAGATGTAATTACCCGCGCTTATCGCGGCGAGACAACTTTGCCGCTCTTTATCCATTGTCTGCTGGGCTTTTAGCGGTAAGCGAGTCACCCCGGGGCTGAAACTCGAGACTCCGGGATCTGCCGGAGATTTTTTCGCCGACGAAGCGCGAGCGGTCGTCAGCGGCGAGCTCGTCACCGTCGGCGGGGGAATTGTCACGCGAGGCTGGTGATCCCACGACGGTCCCTTCGACGTGACCGGGACAGTAATATCATTTAATGGTATCCTTCTTCTAGGGATACGACTAAGGAAGAGGGGAGGGGAGGCGGTCACGAGCCTCCTTTTTACGGAAATATCATTAATAGAGCTTTAATAATGCATTATAGCATTTGAGAACGGTTATATTAGTCGTGTTCATTATTCGCAGGCTTGCAGTTGTGGTCTATAGATCTGCCGCTTTATTATTAACGACGCACGCCTGAGAAATATTCGCGAGGCCTATACGTGACCGGTGTGATAATTTCAGGGCCGACGCAGGCGAGAACGAGCGGCCAGGGGTTCGCGAATGATCGATGATTCTTTAATCGCGCGTCAGTGACGTTTAATAAGCGTCCGAATACGATGATTTATGTTTCGCTAGGGGAAGGAAAAAGGAGAAGAAACAAAAGCGGGGCGCATTAATTCGCGGGGATTTCGATTCATTGAGCGAAGGGCACCGGCGACCTGGAAAGGGGAGAGAGATAGAGAGAGAGAGAGAGGCCCGAAAACGTCGAAACTGTACACACGATAGGGAAAGTGCAAACGAATGTCGCGTTGCTGCGCCGTCGCGGTCATTCGCGTTGAAACCGTGAACGAAGAAGCGTAACCGATATATATCAAACGCAGAGCCGAGCGCACAGGTTCTTGAATAATGTATGAGAGCGAGCGATGCGCGAATCGAGAGGCATTTTCAGCGCCACTGGCCTTTACTCGTTTCTCCCCTCTTTTTCCTCCCTCTTCCCTCTTGCTCGCGTCCTACGAGATGCATGCGTCTCTCTGTTTCTCATCTCTGTCGTGTGCGATCGCGACGCGCGATATTTTTCACGCAAATCTACCCGGAATAATATCGCCCGACGATACATCCCGCCGAGAAGATCAAGAATACCCTCTACCCGTCTTCCGTTTTCCCGTCGGGGGTTTTCCCTTCCGGGATGGAGCTCGGCGAATCGTCGATAAAATAAGCGGTTCTCGTAATGCGCGCGATAGTCGGCGGTGCATCGCGACAGATCTCATATAGAAGTGAACTCATAACATGATAAGACGATCTTAATTGCGAGCCGGCACATTCATTAACGCGAACGTTCGTCCGTCGGATTACAGGTCGTTACGGCAGTGAATTTCTCATTGTGGAGGGAAGCGATCGACCCAGAAGACATCGGCATGTTACGAGCTCACCGAGCAAACATCACGACGCCAATGGAAGTGGTACGCGTGCATACTCATAAAAGAAGCGATAACAAGGCGATAGATCAATGCTGTACGATATCGAAAAGGCTTGATAAATGTCAGAGATACACTCGTACATATGCAATTTCAAAAAAATATATATGTGTAGATAAATATCACATATTAAAAAAATATATATAACATATATACGTAGATTTTTTCATAATTTTCATAATTTTTCATAATTTTTTCATTATTTTGACTTATGGGCCTTAAATTACATTTAATTTTCGCTATGTAATATCTGATACTTAACAACGGTAGAATCCGAGGAACGAGACCCGCTAAAAATTCTTTAAATTATCCACTTGCAGACGACGTGACAAAAATCGAGGTGGTGCTCGAGGAAGCGCCGGATGCTGTCCTCGTCGGTTCTATGTCATCGGAATTGGAACCCACCACCGAACTCAATTCCACCTTTCCCGATGGTGAGTCTAATAGTCTTATATTCTCTCGAAGGCCGTAATCCTTGCTACTCCCGCCTCCGTCGTGTTTCACAACACCCTCCTCGTCCAATCTGGTGAAATACAGATATAAAATCTACGAGAAAAAGAGGGGGGGGGGAGAGAGAGAGAGAGAGAGAGATAGCCGGATAAAAATTTCTAACGACCACGACCTGCGTAATGCCGCTCGTTCCTCATCGTATTTCTAATCAGACGAGGTAAATTTATTTCGCTAATCCTATCGCCATTCTGGCTCAAAACTGGAAAAATACGTTCGTCCGAGTCCCGAGCACCGGGAGCATGCTGAAAAGTCGCGATGAAATAAAGTCGCGATTTGTCAGGCGCGAGCATTCGTCTTCGCGCGCGTTTACTCACGATTTCGCTCGGTAAGCAGCTCCGTGAAAAAAAATAGAAAAAAAAGGAGAAAAAAACACAAGACCACCCCGTTGGGAAGAAATATGTGAAAAGTTTGACGAGTTCTCTGAAACATTGATCGCCCCGACGTTACTTTCGATATCGGAGGATCCCGCAAGGACGGATTCAGCCTCGTATTCTTTCCCAGCCGTGAATTTTTGATGCGGCTCACAACATGATCTCCCTGTTTCTGTCCCGGCAAACCGATACAAATGACCCACGGGAATAACCCAGGACTCCCGGTGTGTTTACCTTGCGCCGTTTTTCGCCTGCGCGCGAGCGCGAGATTCACCGTCGATTCAATTTCGCCGCCATTAATCAACCCTCCGCGTTATATTCGCTCGGCAATTATTTAATGCACCGCGCGCCGCGAAAATATCCGCGGTTCGCGAACTAAACAACGTATCCATGGCGAACGAGCAACGCGTAACGCAAAGCAAATAACGTACCGACGGTAAACGCGCGTAACGCTAAGCGAATAACGTCCCAATGACGAATGTACGTAACTTGTTACGCGAGTAGTTGCATAATTGATTATCGCGGGTCGCGCTTTGGGCGCGCGTTTTCCGAGTTTTCGCTAACTTGCGATGGACGTTAATGCGATGTAGTTTGAGCGCGTTTCACGGCCGCCTATCCGTTTTGGTTGTACACGCGTACGTTGCGAGTGTTCGCCAGCTCGACGACGTCGTCACGGGGGATTCGCGATGAGAAATCGCTAGTCGGGGAAGATCGCATAATCGCCCGTTCGACTTGCAAATGCGTGAGGTGAAAAATCTCGGGAACTTAGGGAAATTCCGCGGGACGTGCGTACGGTTGACGCATCGCGAAGCGAGACGACTCAGCGACGAGGGACTTTTTCACGCGCGGTCGTTTTTTCTCTCCTCTTCTCTTCCCGCATTTTTTCCCAAGCCCGAAGTTGCTTTAATTAAATCCCGAGTTCTCGAATTCTCGCGCGAACTTGAGGACGCGCGAAAAATCTTGCTCCGCTCGAAAGAAGGTGAGGAGAGATTTAAAGTGGACGAAATTAAATATAACTGCTTCCCCGGAAACGGTGAAGAAAGAATATATATATATATATATATATGTATATATATATATGGTCATGAGAAGCCAAAGCACGGATATAGTACCGTTTTACATTGATATTGTCAATATTAATATCATTGTGGAAGGATAAATGTTCAGCGTGTAATAACATACGTGCTGAATATTTTTCAGACAAGTGTACGCGGGGAATTTCCCACACTTAAACCGATCCTTGAATCCTAATAATATATTACGAATTCAAATCTTCCTCTCTATTTTAAACTCCATTTAAACCTAAATGTTATATTAATCAACAATCAATGTTCACTTTATCATCAAAGTAGACGTTTACGAATTATGTACAGAATTTCGCCGCGTCATATCTCCCCCACGTGCGCGCCGCGGATGCCGGGGACAAGCATGCGGGTATTGTGCCGCTCGCGCGGAATCTCCCCCGTTTCGTTCCGATTTTCTACGTGATAGCTCTCGCGACGCGGAGTTCCCTCCTCCTCGAAAGGGTCGATCCGGTTGGAGGACGACCCCGATATCAATTTATCAGTTCGATTGTTTGCCACGCGAATGTACTACTTACCTATGGAACGTCGTTAGTGGCATTATAGAGTAGCCAACAAAGCTTCACGTATGACCGTGCATCGTACATCGCGGCGGTACCGAGCTCCAGGTTTCCCGAGCTTGTTTTCTTCCGTTACCGTGACTTCAACGTCAGCCCGCAGCGCGTTGGCTCAATTATACTTATAATTAGCTTGCCGGACAAAGGGATGTGTATGGAAATTTTGGATTAAACATTATCGTTGCCCAGTCGTTTCAATTTTAACTCTTCCGTATTCACGTGTCAGAAACTCCCCTGAAACACGTTTTAATTTTCAAGCTTCTCTTCCGAGCAGTTGTAACTATTTTTGATAGCTTAACAGTTTAATTGATATTTCATCGATATTTTAGACTTTCTTAGAAATCTTCTAGAGAATAAATATATGGAAAATGTATTCGTATTTTCTATTGAAGTAGAGTCGATTCGTCCTTTAATTTAATTAAGACCACGAAGTGTATTTCCGTTTAGTTTTCAGTTCACGATCGTGTCAATTTCCGGTCGTCCGTCGCTCCGTTAATTCGCAACGATAAAAACGCGTGTGGTTTCGATCAGGGATTGCAGGGGGAACAGGTGCGGTGGTGGTGCGCGCTGAGGAGGCTCTGATCGTCATGCTGGTGTTGGTACTGTGGGTGGCCGCCATAGCCTTGTTCTTCAACCGATGGGGCAAGATCCGTATGCTCGAGCCGTATCAGCCGAAATTTCAACAGCACCCCCGACAGCAAAGCTGCAGTCTGGTCGATCCGAACCAGCTCCAGGTGAGCTCTCGCGTTTGCCCGCTCTCTGACTCGTCGTAATTGATTAGCACGCAGAATGTCCGCATACGAGTCGTACATACCGTTGAGGAATGCGGCGTGTCGTCGGATTAGCATAATCCGCGTGATTTGTGCATCCGCGCTGCCGCTGGCTGCGCGTCGCGCCTCCGTCGGCATTATATACGGCGGCGGTGATCGTGACATCGCGTTATTTCGAGCCGTGATCGATACACCGCGGCTTGACAGATGATATCGACCGTGGAAATAGATCACGGTCGTTTTATCTCGAGAAGGAGAGAGAGAAAGTACCGAAACTATAAATCACCGATTTTCATCGAGACAGCCGGTACTCGACTCGGTTATCGATGAGTTTATTTAGCGACGAACATTCTGTTTCCCCCCCCCCCCCCC